AAGAATGATGAATGTTTCTATTTGCGGTTGTTGCTGGTACATGTTCGAGGGCCAACATCATTTGAATCACTACGAACTGTTAATGGTATTGTGTGCCCCACATTTCGTGCAGCATGTCTAGAGCTAAATTTGCTTAAAAACGATACTCATTGGGACACGACAATCGCTGAAGCAATTATTTCTGCATCTCCAAGTCAGATACGCACATTATTTGCTATCATCATTTCAACATGCTTCCCATCGAACCCACGTGACCTGTGGAGCAAATACAAAGATAACATGTCAGAAGATATTTTACATCGAATTCGCGTCAGCTCAAGAAATTCCGATCTTGAGGTGAATGAGGAGATCCATAACCAGACTTTGCTCTTGATCGAAGATATGTGTTACCTCATGTGCGGCAGTTTGTTAGTTAGGTTAGGAATGCCAGCGCCAGATCGCGGAATGAATGACGCATTTAATAGAGAATTGGAACGTGAACGTGAATATGATCCACATGAACTAATCCAATTAGTTCAAACGAATGTACCTCTGTTGAATCCTAAGCAGAGGGAAGTCTATTATACACTGATTAATGCAATCGATGATGGAAATGGCGGCTTATTTTTTTTGGATGCCCCCGGTGGAACTGGGAAGACATTCCTCATGTCATTGATTTTGGCCACTGTACGTGCGAGATCCGAAATTGCGGTAGCAATTGCTTCTTCTGGAATAGCGGCCACATTGTTAGATGGATGTCGTACGGCTCACTCAGCGTTAAAATTGCCATTAAACCTTCAAACTACTGAACAACCGACATGTAACATTTCGAAACACTCCGCAATGGCCAAAGTTTTAGTAGCATCAAAAATCATCATATGGGACGAATGCACAATGGCGCACAAACGCGCATTGGAAGCACTAGACCGAACATTAAAAGATCTGCGCAATGACTCGAGATGTTTTGGTGGTGCAATGATTTTATTATCTGGCGATTTCCGATAAACACTACCAGTTATTCCAAGATCTACAGCTTCCAACGAAATAAACGCTTGCCTCAAAGCATCAAATCTGTGGCGATATGTAAAGAAACTTCAACTGTCTGTAAATATGAGAGTTGCATTGTTGAACGATCTATCTGCTGATGATTTCTCGAAGCAATTGCTGACTATCGGTAATGGACGTGTTCCTGTTGACAAATCGAGCGGTTTGATTGCATTTCCTCCAAATTTTTGCAATTTCGTATCATCAAAAGACGAGCTTATCAACAAAGTATTCCCGGATATCATTTCTAACCACAAAAATACTAAATGGTTAAGTGAGCGAGCAATTTTGGCCGCTAAAAATAAAGATGTAGATGACCTCAATATTATAATTCAAAATCAAATCGTAGGTACTCTGTATTCATTCAAATCTATCGACTGTGTAACAAACGAAGAAGAAGCCACTAATTATCCAACTGAATTTTTAAACTCCTTGGATGTGCCTGGTTTACCACCGCACAATTTAAAACTTAAAGTTGGCTCGGTAGTCATCATGCTTAGATATTTAAACCAACCAAAACTGTGTAATGGAACGCGTTTGGTGATAAGAAAACTGATGAGCAATGTTATTCACGCGTCGATACTTAAAGGAAAATTTAAAGATGAGGAAGTTCTTATTCCAAGGATTTCGATGATCCCAACGGATATGCCCTTTGAGTTTAAACGAATTCAATTCCCGATTCGTCGTGCCTTCGCCATGACGATCAACAAATCACAGGGCCAATCCTTGACTATTTGTGGCCTCAATCTAGAAAATGCATGTTTTTCTCATGGTCAATTGTACGTGGCATGCTCACGTGTCGGCAAACCATCCGCTTTATTTGTTCTTGCGCCTGACCAAAAAACAAAGAATGTCGTTTACCACAAAGTGCTTGAATGAAAATAAAGCCTAAATTAGTTCAACTAAAAAGTAACACGACATTCATTGACTGTTAGGCGGTACGAAGTTTGCCGGGTTATGTTTGTTGACGGGACAGCGGGAGTACTTAGGAGTCCATCAGAGATGGCTCGAACTAGCTGGCTAGTTTCATCAGCCATGCTGGTCGCCAGCATTCGAGTCTGTTCGACCATAGCCACTCTAATCGCTTCAGCGATAGACTGCTGGATGGCCTCTGCCATTGTTGCCTGGCTCTGTTGAGTATCGCCAGAGACTTGAGACATATTGGCATTGGACGGCTGGACACTTCAGCTTTCTTTCTTTGACTTCTAGTCTAAAGGGACTGAGAAACAAAGGGCATCCGTGAACTGGAAGTAGACGGACCACCGGGACTAAGATTCTCAGATGAAGCTGATATGAATTTTAGGTCTTACTGACACTGGGGACCAGTACCAGAAACTTTAGAGGTGAAACACGCTCTACGAAAACTATGCCCACAACTTGCCAACAGTAGTTAGGCCTGATAAACAATAATCTCTGTGCAAATTTGACAATATTTTCCAGTATCAACTGAGACCGATAAATTCTCCGTACTACGGGATACCACCATTTCGGTAATGGAACCAAGTAAACTAATCAATAATGGGTATACAATACGAATAAGAAAGATATTATATATTATAAAAAACGAAAAAAAATCAAAATCAATTTATATAGGTAGATATATTTAAAATAAACTTAGGAGCCATGCAATCGCCTTTAAGTAAGAATAGAGTAAAAAGAACAGATTGCAGTGTTTACGGGAGAGGAAGAGACAGAAATAGGGGTAAACTATTTGTAACTAAAATCTGCATCCCAGGCTTAGTCCGCGGAAGGGCTGGATATTAATTATCGTAAGTCCCTCATCCGACGAAAACTAAAAGGTCAGTTCAGCAATATAGTCTTTAATGCGGTACTGGATCGTATGAACCAACCATTAGGTTTAGAAGTCCAAAGTAAACTAGGCTTACTGAATCACGCGACTCGTTAATCTTCTCAGGGTTACTTAGGGACAACCAAAACCATATTAAGAAGGAAACATTTCAGTCAGATTTCTCAATAACGTTTGGAGGATGCTGTCATTTCCTGGTGTAGCTAGCCACTAGCTTAGTTCCTACGCAATATCACCAACTGAGGTATAACATGTAAGGCTAAGCGTTGACCACGGAGTATAACCAATGAAAGTTATAACACTTCCAGTGTATCGGACCTTCCAGACACCAGTATACCCAAATACGATTCTAGGCCATATAAGCCATGCTTAGCTTACACGGATCCAAAGTATCCACTGGATAACTGAGACAGGAAAACGGACATTTGCAAAAACGATCTAGCATAGGTTGAAGTCAGGTGTTACAAATGACCAAAGTGTTTATTTATGATCGGGGCAGGCCAGATCGGGCCCCACGTTGGGCGCCATTAATAGGATAAATGTAGCATGTCACCTACAACGATAGTTGCTGTAGATGGGCCACTCGAGCTGGTCTGGGTTGTATTTCAAAAGGTTGAACGCGCTGGCTCCGGCTGTATTATCGGTAGTAGGAGTGGGATCCGATATGGGCTTATGAATACGTGCTCGCTGTCTGTACCAAATCGTATTATTTTTATTCGCGTGCATAACCTTGCTTCGACCGTTTAAGCGATATGAGGAGGCTATGAGAACAACATATAGAATGGGAACTTAAAGGGAAGGGGAAACTAAACAACTGCAATGCCTGTTAGCTGTGCAGGTGTGTTGCAGGGTGGGCCAATGCCCACCCAACCTTAATCACACCATTTCCGCGATTTTTTTGGTGTTATGGAATGATCCCTTTTTGTTTAGGTTTACACCATATTCCTCCGACCAGACACTCGCATGGCTCCTAAGACGAAATTTAGCATGTATTCATGGCAACACTAAGATAATTTCGGAAATTCAGAATTATGCATCTATTATACTAAAAAACGAGAAGGAACGTGTGAGTAGCTTTTGGGGACGCGACTCTCCTTATACCCGTACTCAGTCAGTATATACATTGTTGAGCTTATGATTTTTTAGAATTTTAGAAAAAACAAAAATTTTACATTTTACATTTTTTTGCTACATCATCTATCTACATATACATATACAATGTATATTCTCCATCTAACATGTAGATTATAGATGTACCATTCATATTCTACATCTCCTCCGCTAAGGGTTTCTCGCGCACTGAACGCGGCAGAGTGTGCGAGTGAGAAGGAAAATGAGTTGCGTTGTCGTTTGTCGGAGGGGGCGAGGGGAAACAACTGAAAATTTATTTCTTCATTCTGGCTATAATTATGATCCGATCTGATTAACTCTTTTTTGAGTACGGGTATAACAAACTAACTCTAACCGAGTCCGATGATCCTATTGGGCTTTGAGGTGGCTCAGAGGGGGCTTAGCTGAGGCCACCGGACGGGTCGCAGGTTGCGGATAGCGAACGGCCTACCCTAGTGGGTAGGTCAGCTGCGAATAAGCGGACATCCCAAAGAGTAGCAACTAAGTTGGCTCTGAGGGAGAGTACCGAAATAAGCAGTCCCGGACAGCCAGCGGGTGTTCGCGACGCAGCAGCACTGACGATGCGCTTGTGGTGCCGCCTCTCATTAAGTAGCTCACACACTCCCATCCCTACACATTACCTACCCACATCCCAGCCCCAACACTTACCTCACACCGGGCCGGACTAAGGTGTCACTCGACCCGTGCCAAGAGTCAGCCTGGCTGGGGGCCCGGTACAAAACTAGCCCAGTCGTGAACGGAGAGCTCAGAGACTTGGCAGCCCCTGTTCTAATTATGCCTTACCCGGGTAAAGTAGGGCTCTGCCGGGGTGGACCGTTCCCCTTCTCTGCAGCTCGTGGGAATCATTTGGAAAAAATACACAAAATACAAAAAAGAAAACAAAAACGAGAAAGGCACTCCCCAAATGCCGGCTGGGAAAAATTCCAAGCGGGAGAAGGCAGCGGCCCGAAGGCCTGGCCCGATCCGCTCAGATGCAGAAAAGACCTGTACGGTGGAAGACGCGGGTATGAACCATCCCAAATCTGGGATGGGTGGAAAGCTAACCACAGTTAGCCACCATGATCTTCTTGGAGGTCTTGCCGGACTGAGAGCCAAAAGATTCAATCTTCTTGACAATGTCCAAGCCCTCAACCACCTCGCCAAAGACAACATGCTTGTTGTCCAACCAAGCGGTCTTCACGGTGCAAACGAAGAACTGGGATCCATTGGTGTGGGCACCCGCATTGTCCATCGACAGAATGCCAGTGCCGGTGTGCTTCAGCTGGAAGCAATATTGCGTCTGCCCAACCTTCCGGTGAAGCTGCGGGTGATGGCTTGCCATCAACCAGTGTTCAAGCCAAAAAATTCAGCTATGCCGAAAAGAGGAGTGCTGGGCACATACTCCGTCGGCAGAACGCCAGCAAAGAAGTCAGTCCAACAGCAGACTGGCTGAAAAAGGTGGAATGGGCCTCGGCGGTGCTGCCCAACTTCAGTGTGGAGCCACAGAAGGTGGCTGCACAACCGAAAAGGCAGTGTTCGCAAGAGACGCCCGGACCTGCCGCGAAGCCCTCCAGAGTGCTACCGAACGTATCCTTCGCGCAGATTGCCAAGGAGAGGACACTGATAGGCGTAGTACCTAGAAGCCAATGGAAGTGGGTGGAAGCGGCACTGGCCAACCGCTGCTTCGAGCTTCTCGAGAAGGATCCTGGGCCACCTCCAGTCTGCAAAGACATGGGATGGTTCCAGGGAAGCATCAAAGTGGTAGCCTGCGAAGATGAGCGCTCCGTGAAGCTATACAAAGCTGCGGTGGCGCAAATCGGAGAAGTCTACGCTGGGGCGAAGCTCGTCGCTGTGGACTGGAGCGAGGTGCCCAGTAGACCAAGGACCCGTATATGGGTGCCGGCCACTTTTAAGGAGCCCGAGCGGATCCTCACGATGTTGCAGAGATGCAACCCTACACTGCCAACCTCAGACTGGAAGGTGGTCAAAGTGGAGGCATCAAAGGGCCCCACAAATCAGGCAGTGGTAGTCCTAAATAAGGAATCGCTAGCCCCGATCGAGGCAGCCAAGGGAGAGCTCAACTTCGGGTTCAGCTCGGTGACCATGAAGGTCTACAAGTCGGATGCAGCGGCCGAGGCGCTTTCTGTCAACAACCCAGTTGAGCAGGACGTTGCCTCGGAGATCGAGGCACCCGAAGTAGACCCGGAGCCGGAGCCGGCCCTGGAGAGCTACTCCTCGGAGACGGAGCTGATGCTCGATTTTGAGGCGCTGTGTCGGGACGAGATCCTCGACGACTCTGACTCCGATATAACAGTGGTGGAGAATGACTCTAATGAAGTCTCTTAGGCTTCTGCAGATAAATCTCCACCACTGTAAAGCAGCATCCGCTGCCCTAATACTCCGCTTAGTCGCAAGCGGAGGGGACATAGTCCTAATCCAAGAGCCCTGGGTGGTAGGAGGCAGTGTCTGTGGATTAGCGACGAAGGACTACAAGCTGATTGTAGCCCAAACTGAAGGTAAAATTAGAACCTGCATACTAGCAAGAAAGCACCTAAATATCTTTCTGCTCCACAATTTTAGCAATGGCGACAACACGGCGGCTAGCCTAGAGCTACAAGGGACACGCCTGAACCTGGTGTCGTCCTACATGGCTCACGAGGAAAGCGATCCTCCCAGTGACCTCGTTCGCAAGATAGCCAGCGACAGCGAGAGGTCGGATACAAGCCTAATAATAGGCTGCGATGCCAACGCTCACCACACCCAATGGGGGAGCTCGGATAAAAATGTAAGGGGTGAGTCACTTTTCAGCTTCATCCTAAACTCCAACCTAATTATTGGTAATCGGGGTAATGACCCCACTTTCATCATAAAAAACCGTCAAGAGGTTATTGACCTCACTTTATTGTCTCACAAACTGTCAGACATAATGAAAAGTTGGAGAGTCCTAGAGGACCACTCCTTCTCCGACCACAGGTACATCGAGACAATCCTATCGCTCGAAAGCACCATACCCACTGTGAGAGTAAAACAGGGGTATGCACTTTTGTATCTCTTTATTACGCCGCACACGTCTTATTTTTCTTAATGCACCTTTTCGAATGAGCGAGCGTCTTTTCTGGAGGCCGTATATTCCGTCTTTCCCAGTGTGACCTTATATTTAGGGGTTATTCATATGCGATAGTGCTGCCGTATTGGCAGTGGGTTAATCTTATAGAGAGGGGCTGATAGGGGTTATCCTACCACAACTCGGCCATCCTGACTGATGGATCACCTGATTCACTTAGATATACGGGAGTTTTACAATAGTTTACAGTTTTTTCTTGTACTTAGTATATTACAGTTTTACTTATATATTAACATTTATTTTTGTTGCCTATCCAGTGTTTTATGTTTTGAATACTCCAAACACCTTGATACGGGTTACGGGATACTTGAAAACCTTCTACGTCTTTTAACAAAAACCTGTCATTTCTTAATACTTTTTCGATTACGTAAGGCCCTTTGTTTTTGGGAATTAATTTTTTAGATGCTCCTACTGTGCAATCAAAATTTTTTACCATCACATAGTCTCCTTCTTTATATTCTTTCGGTTTCTTTAGGCCCTTGTCATGTTGCTTTTTGTTGTATGCTTGGGCTATTTCTATATTTTTCGCCGCTTCCTCTCTTAGTTCTGTTAAATCTTTGCTTTCTTGTACATCATTCAACTGTTCTAGTTTTTCTTTTAATTCGTCTACTATTTTTCCTCTCTGTTCTATGCCGAATAATAGTTTACACGGAACTTGTTTTGTGCTTCGATGCTGCGTGCTATTTAATGCATGTTCTACTTTGTCTATCACTACATCCCAATGTATACCCTTTTCTGGCGCCACTAATTTCGCTATCATTGGTCCAATGCTTCTGTTGACTCTTTCCACCTGACCATTCGCTTGTGGCGATCCTGTTGCGATTTTAGTGTGTTTAATATCAGTCTCTGTCAAGAACTCATCGAACTCGTTTGATGTGAAACAACTTCCTCGATCTGAAATTATGCATTTGGGTTTGCTGTATGCTCTAAAATAGTCTTTTAACGAAGCGATGACCTCCCGTGTATTCGTTGTTTTTGTTGCATATAAGCGCACAAACTTTGTGAAAGCATCAATTACTACTAAGATGTGCTTTTTTGATCTTCCTGAATCAACCGGACCGTAGTGATCGATGTGGATTAGTTCAAATGGCTTATTTCCTTTTGGAATGGAGTGTAAAAATCCTTCTTTTCCTGTTTTAGGCGAAAACGCTACGCATTTCAAACAATTTTCAATATGACCGGAGCATTTTTCTTTTACGTTTGGAAACCAATAGCTTTTGCCTATTATATTCATAATTTTGTCTCTGCCTATATGTCCTATTTCGTTATGATATTTGTATAACACGTGATCTTCCATTTCGGTTGGAACATAGAATAACAATCTTCCGTCATTGCTTTTCCTGTAAACTACACCATTTCTCATTTCAAAAAACTTGTGTTCATTTTCTTCTAACTGTTGCTTGATATTTTTAACTATTTGGTCCTTGGCTTGGCAAATAACTAAGTTGTCTTCAAACGTGTTTGTTTCTACAATGAGAATGTTTGTGCATCTACTTAGCGCATCTACGTGCTGCATCCTGCTGCCTTCTCTATGGCTCAGCTCATAATCATAACTTTGCAGCTCTAAAGCCCATCTAGCAATACGCGGGTTGAGCTCAATTTTGTTGAGCGTTAGTGAATTACAGTCAGTAACGATCTTGAAACGTTTTCCATATAAATATATGCGAAACCTGCGTAGTGGGTAAATAATTGCCATTGTCTCCAGCTCAAAGCTGTGATATTTTGATTCCGCTGCAGTTGTACGCTTAGAAAAATAAAAGATTGGATGCAGTTTTCCGTCGTCTTTCTTCTGAAGTAGCACTGCCCCGAAACCAAGAGCGCTTGCATCACAATGCAATTCTATCTCGTCTTTATGATTATAAAGTGCTAAAATGGGTGCTTGCATTAGCATTTCCTTAAGCGATGAAAAGCAATTTAATTCGTCTTCACCAAATTTAAACTCTGTATCTTTTCTCAGAAGATCGTAAAGAGGTTTGGCAACAGTTGAGAAATCTTTTATAAATCTCCTGAAATAGGAGCATAAGCCAAGAAAACTTTGTACCACCTGTATCTTATTCGGGATTGGAAAGTTTTTGATTGCTTCTAATCCTTTTTCATCTGCCCTTATACCTTGTCCGTTGATTGTGAACCCCAGATATTTGATATTAGATTGTAAAAACTCACATTTGTCTATACGCAATTCTAATTTGTTTTGAGCCAACCTAATAAAGACTTCTTTTAGCGTTTCTAAGTGTTCCTGCGTATCTTTGCTGGCTACCATGATGTCGTCCATATATGCAATAACTTTGTCATCCCTAATTAAATCATCGAATATTTTATTAACAAACCTCTGAAACACTGCTGATGCCGTTTTCAGTCCCTGTGGCATTCTAAGGAACTCGAATTGTCCTAAAGGTGTCACGAACGATGTATATCTAATCGATTCCTCATTAACGAATACATGGAAATAACCATTTTTGAGATCAAATTTCGTAAAGACTCTTTTGTTGGCTAATTTGTCCAGCAGATCATCGATGAGGGGTATGGGATAGTTGTCCTTAATCAAGGTCTTGTTGAGTTTTCTAAAGTCTATACACAACCTTAAATCCCCCGTTTTCTTTTTGACTAGTACGATAGGTGAAGCGTATTCAGACTCGCTGGGTCGTATTATTCCTTTTCTTAAATATTCATCTAACAATGTTTGCAGTTTATCTTTCTCGGTATATGATAGGCGCCTTGGAGCACAACTAAAAGGTTTTGATTTCTCTAAGTTAAGTTTTATCTCGCATTTGACTAAAGGTTCTTTTGGTTTTACCGTCTTTACGTAATAGTCTTCGATTATTTGCCTTAGTTGACACTTAAGCCTATGACTTATGTTTCCCCGCAGATGTAATCAACTTTTTCATCTTCCATATAATTGATATTAAAGATGTCTGGAACAATAATATCATTGTATGTGTCATCAGCTTTGCTGTTAAGGATTTCATTCATAACCATCGCATCGTTATTTATCGAATTGACTGTTTTCTTTTTAGAATTTTTTGGTCTGGTAGAATCGCTAAACTCTTCAGCAAACATTTCATAAGTTACTCCTGTTTCTCTAACAACGTTACTAACGGTTTTACTAACAATTTCGTTTACCTCTTTACTAATAGTATCACTTACAATTTCACTAACTCCTTCACTAACGGTTTCACTAACAATTGCACTAACTTCCTCACTAACGGTATCAATAACAATTTCATTACCATTATCTATTTTGATTACCTCATCTATAACTATTTTATCTAAATTTTCTCTACTCTTTGTACTACTTATTATACTAGTATGTTTTCCAACCGTTTTGATTTACATTTTATCATTTTCAATCGGAATTGCTGGATTTTCACTTAAATGATCATTGGCTTCCGAATTCAAAGCGTCTAACGTAACCATTTTTAAAGTACTTAAGTCCAAGTTTAAGTCGCATGCATTCATAAAATTTCTGCCAAGAACCACACCATGACTCATAGACTCGTTCGACACTACGTTCAAATAAAAATAGCATTTTAGTCTTCCTTTCAAAACATAACATACAATTTTTCCAAGTGTTTTCAATTGGCTTTTATTAAGCCCAAAATATAATTCCAAAACTGGTTCCAAACGAATTTCTCTAGAGATTAAACTTTTCTTGATGAACGATATGGGACTGCCAGAGTCTATGAGGCATGCTGAAATTAATGGTGTTACGATATTGTTGCAAAAGAAAATCTTACAGTATCTTACATAATTATTGTATGTTACGCTCTTCCTCTCCGGGCATTGTCCGACCAGATGTCCAAATACCCCACAGGCGTAGCAGGATCCAGGCTCCCTTTTTGGTTTGAGACAGTCCTTGGCGAAATGACCTCGCGAGTTGCAGTTGGCGCAACGTAGGTCCTTGGTCGCCGAAGAATTTGCCAGGCCTTGTGATGATGTGGCATGCTGCATACGCTCCGGAAGGCGAATCTCCGAAAAAGCACGCAAAATCTGCTTCGGATCGGAGAAGCACTGAATGCGAGCCTGATCTCGCAAGCCCGGGGACGGAATTCCCTCGATTATCTTCTCTTTCAATTCTTCTGTGTCTATGTTGATGTTCCTGGCCAACATCATTTTTTCTTCGTAGTATGTGGCAAAATTTTCTCCATAAAGCCATTGGCGCTTATGGAACCTGTCTCTGAGTTCTCCTTTGGTGATGTTTGCCCCGAATGCCACGATCAATTGCTCGCACAGGTGATCAGCTGATTCCAAGATGCGCGAGGAATCTGCATGGAGCCAGCGCTGAGCGTTTCCTTTGAGCTTGGCAATCAGCAGCATTCGTTTAGTAATGTTGTCCAGTTTGTAGATTTGGGCAATGTTCTTCACCTGTATGACCCAGTTTTTGGCGCACTGTGTCCCGTCGTATTCCATAGTCACTTCCTTTGCTAACGTAAGCGATGCTATCGGAGATTCGCATATGTTGTTTACATTTGTGTCTTGACGTTTTGCAACACCGTCTGAATTGTCGTCTTTTCCATTACTGCTGTCAGGGCCGCTATTAACATTGGTGCTGTTAGCGCAAACGGTGTTGTTAACTTCGGGGCTGTCAACTGTAGCACTGTTATCGTTGTCGCTGTTAACTGAGTCGTTGTCTTCGTCGATGACGTCATTGGATTGGCCGACGTGAACGATCTTGTTTATTTCGTCATGGATTTGCCGCAGCATGTTTTTTCCTGCTTCAATGTCTGCGCGCAATTTCATCAGAGCGACGTACTCGGCTTCCACCGTGCTCCACTGTCCCATGCTTGGAATATTTTTCTCCTGCATGCCTCGAGTTGATGGTGCTGCCTCTTCCTCGACCGACGACGCTAAAACTGGTGCTTCGCCTGCCGCCTGTTGATGTTCCACTTGGTCGATCGAACCTTCTGGTGGGTCGCCTCGTGCGTTTGGTGAAATTGCGCTTACGCGTGCGATCAGTTCGGCTTTGGAGCCTTGAGTTGGTAGCCCAAGTCCAGCCAGCCACCTTTTTAGTTGCGCTGACGAGAATTGATTTGGTTCGAAGTCGCACATTGTGAGTAAGGCCCACTTCTGAGATTGTGAGAGTAAAACAGGGGTATGCACTTTTGTATCTCTTTATTACGCCGCACACGTCTTATTTTTCTTAATGCCCCTTTTCGAATGAGCGAGCGTCTTTTCTGGAGGCCGTATACAAAATCGTCCCCACAAAAACAGACTACTGCGTTCCGAGGTAGTATACAGATACCCCCTTCGAAACAATCATCCCTCACAGAATAAACTGGCTTGAGGGACCACCTGGTCCAAAGGGAGCCATTCGAATCTTTACTGATGGCTCAAAGCTGGACAACAAGGTCGGAGGAGGAATCTACTCCGAACAGCTGAACATAAGACACTCTTTCAGGCTCCCGGATCACTGCAGTGTCTTCCAAGCGGAAGTCATAGCGATCAAGGAAGCTTTGAGCTGTTTTCAGGAACTAGCCCCTGCGGCAACTCATATAAAAATCTATAGTGATAGCCAAGCTGCGATCAAATCGCTGAATGCGATAACAACAAGCTCGGCTACCGTGGCAAACTGTCGCAAATCTCTTCATGAGATGGCTTATCAGTTCGTCATCAGCCTAATATGGGTCCCGGGCCACCAGAACATTGAAGGCAACTGCATAGCAGACGAGCTGGCCAGAGCTGGTACAACAATCCCCCTTCTCCATGATAAGGAGGATATTCGTATGCCAATGGCCACCTGCAAGCTCAAAATAAAAGAACATTTTAAGCGATTAATAAATGACAGATGGCAAACTGTGCCACTATGTCGCATAACTCGGCAAACATGGCCTAACATTATTAGGAAGCGCACCGATGAGCTTTGCAAACTCAGTAGGAGTAGGTGCAGCTCAGTCATACGCTACCTTACGGGACATTGGCTAATAGGCACACATGCAAACAGGCTGGGCGCCCCATATAACGACTTCTGTCGAAGCTGTAGAGATGAGGACGAGGAGGAGACTGTGGAACACCTGTTCTGCTCCTGCCCGGCTCTCAGTAGAAGGAGACTTCAATACTTGGGCGCTCCTTTTCTAACTGACATTTCGGACATGTCTACAATCAGTCCCAGACGGATCGCAGGCTTCATAAGGGCATCCGGATGAGATAATGGATAACATAGGGTCTCACGAGGGAGAAGGGAACGATATATGCGGTATCACAATGGGCCGAAACCGGCCTAGGTGTGTCGGGTCTCTGACAATCCCGACAGCCGCCTCAACCTAACCTAACCTAACCGAGCCTAACACCCAATATTTGTAGAACTAATTTCGATGTATAATATGATTCATAACGATATATGCGTAGATTAATTAATAAATGGGTAAATTTATATAAGGTATAATCAGTGACTGACGAATCAGTTAAGCAAAGAGAAAAAGAATGTAATTATAGTATAGAGGTATAAAAACGAATATATGGTGCAAAAATATGGAATATTTAGATTAAGTATGTGGTATGAGGAACCATAACGATAAGTAAATTCATTTCTTTTCTTTTTTCAACTGATTTCAAAATTTCAAGAAAAAAACTAGGAAAGCTTCGTGACAGAAGGTCAGTGGAGAACATGCACAATGGCAAGGTGCAGATGTAGACATTAGGGAACTCATTCATGGCTAAAGGCCAATGCAAAGTAAACGGTTACTACCTTCATTAATGTTCATCACTTACGATATTGGTTACGTTGCTCCACGCAGAAAGATCTTTCCTTGTGTTAGCTGTGCTGGGATGGGTAGATGGATGTTTAGATGATTGGTTAGATGAGCAATTAGATGAATGATGGTCTCTGTGAAATATAATAGTGTTAATCCGAGTTCCAAAAATATACACTTAGACATTGACATGGATATTCTTTCTTTAAACAAAAATTCAAAATTATACTAAAATATGGTCATATCAGGTCCTAATTATACCCATATAATCTAATACCAAGGTAGCCGAAACAGTTGCTGCAGCTTAGGGTGCAGAATCGAGGCGTTGAGGTCAATGACCTGCAGGCACTCCGTCGAGGCTGACACTATGGGGCTGACATAGATGGTGCTGCGGCACGGCACCTAACGGATCCAGAAATACCCTTCACTGCGACATGAAAGACTCTTTTGGCGTCTCAGATAGTGAGGGCGCACAGTTTACCAGGTGGCTATGATCTCCTACATATAGGAGGCTGATCAATGTAGTGGCAAGCCTATCGGTACCCTGCAGTACCAGAAGTGAGCGATGACAAATGTCAACTACGCGTCATTCAGGATTATTTCTCTGCCGCTGCTACAGACGAGTAGAATATGACGTCGACGTCGCGATCGACGCGTCGGTCAGACCAAACTCTTTTTTTTCTTTGTTTCTTTCTGTTACGACTCGTGCCGTAACAGAATTCGGTTTTGCCGTCGGCGTCGACAACGTTGTTAGAATTGTGCGGTGAAAAGTGAGACGCAGGTTTTGTTTATTTTGGGCAAAATTATAATCAGGTAAGTGCAGTGTTTCATTTAATTAAAAATAGTCTATTGTGCGTTGTAAAAAATGAAGAAAATGTGCGAAATTATATGCGTTTTGGACGAAATTTTTCATATTCATCAACGAAAACAAAAAAAAAAACCCGAGTGGTTCTTGCGAGTCTTGAAGGGGAAAGGGGGATTAGGGGGGGGGGGTTTTGTTTGTGGAGCAGAACCGCCGCGGAAAAAAGGGGAATTGTAAAAAAAAAAAAAAAAATTTTTATTAAACCCCTTTTTTTTAAAGGGGGGGGGGGGGGGGGGGGGGGGGGGGCGGGGGGGTTTGTATGAAAAATTTTAAATTCCTTTTTTTTTAGCGATTTAGTTGAACATGAGAAAATCAAAAAAACTAAAAAGGTTCTGTGGAAAAAAGAACACACAGCACACAAATGTGAATATGTATACATTTTTATAAGAAAACAACAAATAAAAGAAATTTAATATTTTAAAACAGAATTTACCCATGCCTTTTTCATCAAAATATCAAAATTTTTTACTTAAATACATCACTTATTAGGGCCTTACTTTTTAAGGGAAATTCATCGCTTATTAAGGCCTTACTTTTCAAGGGAAATTCATCGCTTATTAAGGCCTGACTTTCGGCTAATTCTCGCTTACTATGTCATCGATTATGCTCCTAGGACATCCCCGTGTTAAAGTAAACAGCCCATCGTATGGCAGGTCATCGCTTATGTCATCGAGCTGCATGACGTTGCCATCGATGTGTGGTTGCTTACACATCGCTTACCCGTACTGCAGGGTACAGCCGGGCGTGGAGAGTGGCGACGTGGAGCACCCTTCGGCAAGGTTATTCTACACAGACGTTACTTCCAAAACGCAATTAGTGGTGTCTCCAATCCGCATGGGAACTGCACCACTTTAATTGAAACGTGGATTTCTTCTCCAGGGGGGTTGATACGGGCGTTGTGACTGACCACGCAGGTGCTGCCGTGGTCTTGGTGTTCACCTCACGGGATATAGCCCGAATATGAATGGTTGGAAAATTTGTTTTAACTGGCGAGCACAACTGTCACAAATAATTCCCGTGGTGTCTGGCTGTATATAGGGTTAATTTTCATGTATTATACAAAG